CGCAGACTGAAAATTCTTTCGACTCCACTTTGAGCGATAGAATTACTAACAAAGCACTTATATACTAATAAAGGACTGGCTTATCTATATCCAGTTGAGTAGCACTTGAAATGTTTTAGCTCTATGAAACCTGATGTAATTATGATTCTGTTTTCTTCAAGTTTGTATCTTCTTGGTCGAATGCACTTATTGTAAGTCGCTTTGGATAAAAGCGTCAGCTAAATGTAATGTAATGTAATGAAAGACATTAAGAGCATTAAGAAACATATTATGAAATACATTTAAAAACACTCATTTAAAAGCAAAGATACATAAATAAAGGTTACAGTGCAGTGTAAGATACACATCATAAACAAGACCACCTTTTATGTTGGTTTATTCAAACAGATCATTGTGTGACAGTTGTGTGAAATGCAAACTTTTAATAGACACTTAAAAGGTAGGGTATAAGAATGGAGAAACCAGCTCGAGTGCGCTAGAATTTGAAAGTACGCAGCCGAAAAAATACTTCCTTACAGAGCCCCTCCTCCAACACACACGAACGCGCACATGACCAATGAGGGCACGAGATAAGTTTGTGCACAGATGGAAGGCTGACAGGCAGGTAGGCCATCCAGTTATTTTAGCCGGGCCGGCTAAAATTTTAAATTTATTGTCAAAGCATTTAATATATTCATTGCCATCGGGATGTTAAGAGCATTCCATGGAATATAACAAAAAGTGTCTCTGAAGTGAATTACCTACCCCACCTTTAATACCTTTACCTGTTGGAGATTTTCTGAAAATCCCAGTTCATGTTTCAGGAGCGTTTTGGATAACTGTGTGCGAGGTGTAACAGCCTGTAGTTTTACTCAGAGGGGAGAGGGGTTTTGTGATCGTAATATAATAACCTTCCATTTCTCAAAGTCACACACTACTTGAACAATAATAACTAAATGGCTGCCACTTGAGCACACATTCACAGGGTCCTTTCCATTAGTTTGTGTATGTTCTTTGTTAAATGTACTGTAACAAGGTTGGAATTGCATTAAAATGCAATACAATCCCAAGGAGAGTTGGCACACTTTGCCTTGTTTCAGGTTACTTTCAACACAAACAAAGAGGAACATTTCAAAGATAAGCTGGAGCATTATAACCAATCAAAATGGGCTAGACCTTGGGGTGTGCGACAGCTGCTGTATTGATAATAGATGTCCTGAGAAAACTCTAAGTCACTATAAACACCTGAACCCTTTAAACTGTGTATCTGCCATCAGGTGCAGTCTCAAAGATAAGGAAACATTTAAACAAGATGTGAAGGGATCAGTCATAATTTAAGTCATAGTTTAAAGTTATCTTGTGAAATAAAGTCAATTTCTTAAACCTCAAATGAAGGAAAAGAAGTAAGGCTTGGCTGCAGCTGTGTTTGTTCAGCCCTCATGCTGTGCTGTACAGGAAATGCAGTTTTATATTGTTTCTCGATCATTTTGCAGTCTGAAAATAGTGCACTCATCAGATCTGTAGTACAGACAGATACATCAAACAAAGCTTTTCCTGGAGGTTCGGAGCCGATCAATCTTATTTTTCTACCTCCACTACAAAGATTGTGTTGTCTTTTACCTGAAAGGAACAGATTGTACACTGATACTAAATAACAGAACAAATGTTTCAACTCTGAAAAACATATAGCATTGTTTATTCTCGCTTGTTTTGGTTTCTTCAGAAAATGGTTTGACATTATACCTGACTCCAGCTGTTCTCTTCACCTCACCTCTCCACCAGGCGTCCTCAGCACCTGGCGCTCACCTGCTGACTGGTTTGCCAACTGCTCCTCATCTTAGATTACATCTTGCATGTAAAGACCAGACAGTTATATGGGGGTGTTGTTTGCTCTCGGCTTCTCTAGGTTATCTGTTCCCACATGCTTACAGTCAATCTGTTGGCATTTATTCTGTCTGTTTTTGCCAATCTTTCATCAACGAAAATAATAAACATAAAAATATCCCACGCCCCTGATTTGTTGTCAGCAGGACACGTGTTGCTTATGTAGCTGCAGCATTTTAGAAATCTGCTTGTTATTGTCCTTTTTTTCTATTTAGTTACAGCCTGCACAGTTTGTTCTACTGGCATTACTGCCACATGCCAGGCCAAGCTGTGACTGCATGACGGAATCCACCTACGGAATATAAGTTGCCCAAACTTGTGTTTGCTCAAATAAAAGCCAATTCCTAGATAATGGAGACGCCTTGGTGTTAAGCAATAATCTTATAAACATAAATGCCACCAAAGCTGCTTGTAAGTCTGAGGTTTACAGTGAGTCACCGTTTCTTAGCGTTTTTTCGATATGTGTTTTGAGTGAGATTTAGCAGCTATTATCGAATTATATTCTCCACACCATAAGCAAATAAACTGGTACAAAGGGCTGTTGATCTTCTTCTAAAGTATTGCATTAAAAAAGAATGCATACAAATGTAAAATAGAACTTATTAGAAAGCTATTTTGTGCGGTGTTATTTGTTGGGACCCCATTCAAACTGCCCAATGGAACTCCTACTATCGAATGGTTCAGACACTAAACATTGTGAGGATGAAGGGGCAAATACTGATGGAAACGGCAGCAATGACCGAGACAAAACTTTGAAGAATATTCCAGAAGCTTCTCTGTTTTAAATAAAGGAACACAAAATAGTTTACACGGTCTGTAATTACGTGCGAAGATTGCTTTTTGGAATTAAAGAGGAATAATAATGCTTGGTTTAATTTATTAATGAAGTTGTTTGCTAAAATGAACATTGGACAACCTTTTAGGGCTAAAAAAATAAGCAATAAAAAAGAATAAACTTGGTATAATGATAGACTATGAAAGTTGAGCCTATTTTAAATATATAAACTGTACAAGGGAAACAGAAAGTATCAACATGATACTCCTTTGTGGTTAAATAAAGCAGACAGTAAACTAAAGTTTCGCTCTTATTTTTGTCCCTCAGCAGTCTTTCATTCCAGGGCATGTCCACTCCTGCTCAAATGAAAACATGACACCACAGGACTTGTAGTTCCCTTTCAGAGGGTGAGGTCTACTCAGTAACCCTTTTTCCACCAAGACGTCCAATTCAGCTGAAATGCATTAAATGAAGTGGACCTAAACCTTTTCACCAACAACATCTCCACTTGATGAAAAGCATTAATAAGTCTTTGTGTGTTCGGTGAGTATTCACACACTTGTTTTGTACTGCAGCTGTATTTGTTTGGCTTTTATCTAGTTCATCTAATGTGTTAAATATTGATTTCAATACAGATGGAAGGGATGAGTCTCTTCTCTGATGTGAGTACACAGCGACGTGTTTTTGGCTGGGTTTCCATCATCTGGTTCACTGCAGGCATTGCAGGTGAGGGATGGTTTTGAACTTGAAAATAAGTGTTTATCTTTTTTTATATTCACTGATTTAAAGGTTCTCAGCCTATGCAGGGCTTTAGTGGTCAATGTGCTCAATTTTTTGGAAGTTTTACACATCATTATGATTAAACAAATACACATTAGCTCTTAAATAAATAATTCTAACAGTAAACTATGGAGCTATTTCAGGGTCATAAGTTTTGATCATTCAAAAAAAGTTTTTATCCTGAACTTTGAAAAATACAATGTTGTATTCAAAATAAAAATAAGTATTTGAAATCATTTTTCAGGTTGAATATTATTTTGATTCAGTTCAGCAATTTTTTTCAGATTTCACTTTTATACATATTTTGATATTTGAATCCTTATTTTTTTCAGTTGCAGATTTTTCGTTTTCAGATTCAAAACAATTATTTTTTCAGTTTCAAATCTTGTTTTTTCAGGTTTCACATTGCTTTTCACCTTCAGATCGTTTTTCACTTTCAGATCGTTTTTTTTCGCTTTCAAACTTTTGGGCCTGATGTTGCTTGAGGGGGCGGGGCTTGGCAAAGAGTAGTTTGGCATCCTGAGTGACAGGCCTCCCTCTGTCATGTTGCCTTCATGGATGTTAGGTAGCGCGAGAAATATCACTCAATACTTTCTATACACAATACTCCCGTGATTGGTGGGAAAAAAAACTGAGACCAGCGTCAAAGTTCCGTTAAGCGAGCTGTTGAGCATCGTAGTTGGCAACAATCAAGGTATAAGCGCAATAAACTGTGCTAGAATGTGAAATTAAGTATCCGCAACAAGCCACGCAGATTATTCTGGTGGACCTGATGCCATCCCCCGCTGTCTCACGGAGAGATACTGCAGGTCCTTCCTTCCTGCAGCGGTCAGACGATACAACCAGCACAGCCCCTAGACCCCGCACAAAACAACACAAACTATAACACCTCTTGTTGATAAATAACAACTATGTGCAATATTTGCAATATGTGCAATATATGCCGTTAAAAACTGTGCAATATATAGGCCTACCTTGCTGCTAATTCCGCAGAACTGTTACAGGGTGTGTATTATGTAAAATGTGTAACTTTAAAATATATAATTTCTTTTTTTAATCTTTAATACTTTTTGTCATGCATGCTTTAGGTAGCATTAAGCTATCTTTGGCTCTTCTCTGCTGTAACAATGTAAATGTATCCCCTGTGGGACTAATAAAGGTAATCTGATTCTGATCGCAAAAGCCAAGCCAATACTATGCTGCGTTCATGGAACTACGTGGAAGTGGGGAAGGACAATGCAGATACGTAATTTCACATTCTAGCACAGTTTATTGCTCTTATACCTTGATTGTTGCCAACTACGATGCTCAACAGCTCGCTTAACGGAACTTTGACGCTGGTATCAGTTTACCACCAATCACGGGAGTATTGTGTATAGAAAGTATTGAGTTATATTTCTCGCGCTACCTACTGTAACATCCATGAGGGCAATTCATTAGGGAGGCCTGCCACTCAGGATGCCAAACTACTCTTTGGTAATCCCCGCCCCCCCAAGCAACATCAGGGCCAAAAGTCTGAAAGCGAAAAAAAAAGATCTGAAAGCGAAAAACGATCTGAAGGTGAAAAGCAATGTGAAACCTGAAAAAACAAGATTTGAAACTGAACAAATAATTGTTTTGAATCTGAAAACGAAAAATCTGCAACTGAAAAAAATAAGGATTCAAATATCAAAATATGTATAAAAGTGAAATCTGAAAATAAATATGTTTTTCAAAAAAATTGCTGAACTGAATCAAAATAATATTCAACCTGAAAAATGATTTCAAATACTTATTTTTATTTTGAATCCATCATTGTATTTTTCAAATTTCAGGATAAAAACGTGAACTTTCAAATAAAAAATGTTTAATGATCAAAACTTATGACCCTGAAATAGTAAACCTCCAGGTGTAATAATCTAAGATTGATTTTTCACTCGGTTTCTCTTGTGATTCTGGGAATCTGCCAATCTTTACCCCAATATTGAAATAATTTTAAATTCTGGACACACTGAAATTGTACACAATTGTAAAATTAAAATAAATATCTCACAACACTCAAATTGGATTTGTTGCTTGAAGATAGAAGTAGCCTATGGCAAAGTGTAGCTACAGCAACATATCTTTAACTAAACTAGGCATGATTTAGCTTAGCAAAATTACTGCAAACAGCTAGCATGGTTCTTCCAGATAATAGTCCAACACAAAACCAACTGTAATGTTTCTGCTTCGGTCTAAATTAAAGATACAAAATGTAGTGTGAGTTGCTGGTAGATAGTTGTGTTACATTTGGAAAGCAGCATGGGCTAGCTGTTTCCCCCTGTTTCCAGTGTTTGTGCTAAGCTAAGCTAACTGGCTGATGCTCGTAGTTAAATATTTATCGTACAGACACGAACAAGGTATCATTCTTATTATCTAGCTTTTTTTCCGTTGAGTAAACATTTGTGTACTATTCTTTTAAGATAATCTTGAAACTAATTTACCAGACTTCAGTCTAAAAGCTGATCCTCAAAAGTTATAATAACTTGAACTCTGGTTTTCTTTAGTTGAAAAAAGTTATACTTACACAACAATTAAATGTTACAGTGTTATATTTTTTAACTAAAAGTCATCCCTCTCTCTCATAATTCAGTCAGTCAAAGGCTGGAGCTACAGACCGTTTCCCAGGTGGCAGCACGGTGTGGAGAAAATGTGACACTGACATGTAATGTCAGCTCATCACGCATCGAAATTAAACACTTTTCCTGGCATAACAATAAAAGTCTGTGTCAATATGACAGCCAGCATGATGACCCCAAGGTTAAATGTGAATATATAGACGAGCCTCTACCACAAAGCCTCACTCTGACTCTCCTCAACGTGATGCCCAGCGACCAGGGAACATACCTCTGCAAGCTGCGCTCCAGCCAAGGTGTGAGGTCTAAAACTGCTGATGTTAAAGTACAAGGTGAGTTATCAGATACAAAAAGAAAAGTTACAAATCTCAATGTCTTCTTTTACTTGTCTAAAAGTCCTTTGTTTTCACAGATTGCCTTGAAACTTCTGGCTACGACAGAAATGAGTCTTATGCTGAGTGCTGGTTCAATGGAGTTTACCCCGGTGGCGGCAGCGTCCGCTGGTCCCAAGGAGAGCTTAACTTCACGGCCCCTGCCTTCTACCAGAAAGAAAAAATGGACCATCATGGGCGGTACAATATCTTGAGTCAATTAGATGTCCGGAAAGGAAATTTGAACCAGCCGTATACCTGCTCACTGTGGATGCCTTCGACCAGTAAGGCGTTTATTAGTCACGAACTACATGTGGTTAAGAAATTGAAAGGGTCATCAGAAAGCATGGTCACGCTGCAGTGGATCTGTTTGATAATGGAAATCATAATGGTTAAATGTATGACATAAAGGGAACAAACCAACAGAATTCAGATGTTGAAATAAAAAGGGGCCACAGATTAATTCAGTCAATTATGAAGTGTTGGGTGCAGTTTTGTTTTTTATTTGTTGTAAAATTAAGTGGGTACATTTAGTTTTTAACCCATGTTACCTGCATTTAAGAGCTTAGGGGGGACTTCTCGGTAAAAACAAGAGTTTGTAGGGTTTTAATTAGCAGGGGTCTAACAAAAACAAAAAATATATATATTTCACTGATTATTCAAATGTAACAAGAGGGGAGGCAGTCTGTTAGAGAAAAATGAATCTGAAGGCGTATTTTGACCCACACAATTTGTGAAAACAAACTGCCACACTTAGTTAAAGGGTGTTTAGTTATTAAATGTTGTTTCAGAGGACTGGAAACACTATTTTCCGGAAAATAGGCTTTAGAAATCTGCTGCTATATATTTTTGTTGCAGATGCAGCCTTGTTTTACTGGTAGTTGTATACTCATTGTAAACAGACCTTTTGTTAAACCTTCACCTCCTCCTTATTGCCAAAAGGAGGCAGTCTTCTCGTGCAAGAGAAATAATACACCTCTGGCCTTTTGTAAATGCTGCAAAGGAGAGCATTGGTATTCTGAATCTATGAACACTGAAGGGGAGAAAGGGTTGTCAAATAAAACTGCAAACAAATCGTTGAAGCTTACATTATTCATGTGAAGGACTAAGCAACAACATGTAAGCCAATACAAATACAAATGAAATGACAACGATTAAACCAGATTTGAAACAATATGCCAGAAAATCCAATCATTTAAAAACTGTTAACCTTTTTTTGTTGTTGCAATGTTTAAGATGTATTGTTCATTCACATGTGTTACTTTAGTAGACTGAAATCTGACGTAATGTAGGTTATGTTGTTTGTTAAAGATTTACTTTTGTTTTCAAATGATTTTTGCTATGCTTCATAAATGTTCAAATCCTACATCCGAGTTATATTTTGCTTTGGAGATGTTTAGGCATGCATTCCTTTAAACTAGTTACAGCAAGTTTTGCCTCGGTGTGCGGCGAGACTTGCAAACCACAGAAATGTTTTTCAAAACGATATTTAATTCCATTTAAGTTTGCTTTTTTTTTTTAAAAAGCTAGTTAAAGTGGAAAACAGGTTGCACAGCCTGTTTAATATGCTTTTGTCCTTCGGTCTCAGTGTTTCACATTAGTAACATGTCTTTCTCAGATGAATGGTGAAAAAGGAAAGCTGTGTTTTCTGTGCATGTATTCATTTCTTCTGATTTGAAACTGATATTAAAATGAATGCAAAGGACCTGATGAAGTCCTTTAAATGAGGAGCAAAAACATTCTCAATTCTTCAACGTATCAGTGGATATCTTAAATTCAGCTGTAGAAAGATAACATAACTATGAGTCATAAGATTGACTTTAATAATAGGAGTCAGTGACCGAAAGAACGAGTGAGGACAAGTGCAGGTACTTCGTTGCACAATAACTTTCTTCTCCTGTGTGGGTTTGATCGAAGTAGACATGCTTACACAAGCAATAACAATACATAAGTCCCTAGACAGGGCTTTGAGTTAATAAAACAATCCCCTGAGTGGTTCAGAGGCAAGATGGCATGACTTCAGGAGACCCGGCAGAGAGCATGTTAGTAAAGGATCGAACTGGAGGAACTGAATTGTTTGTACAGGAAAAAAACGAGTTGATTGCTTGCATTGAAGATCAATATTGTTTGACCGTTAGAGAACAAAATCTTTAACATGTAATCCTCTAGTCTAGATGTATGCCAATGGTGGAATCATGTAATATTACATTCTGTTTGAGTCTACATATGAACATATTGTAAATATGCTGTCTTACGGAGATTAGAAATTAGCAAAACTATAATTATTAAACCCTTAAAGGAATACTTTAACCCAAATATATATATATATAAACATACGCATTATATCAATCTTATTATTCATAAGTAATATTCTGTAAATGTCAAATTTAGCTTTTTTAAAAGCATCAGTATCCAAATGTTTTTGTGAGCAGAACGTTTTGTAGAGTTGAAAATAGTGAGTAGTGTGGAACAGTCATTCACCCGCTGTTATTTACTCAAATAAAATCAGATCATTTGTATCCAAATGCAAATTAGTGTTTGTTGTTTTTTCAAGTGGAGAATGTTGTTTATCTCCAGGTACGTCCAAAATAATAAACTATGCCGTTAATTACAAGAGCAGTGTGTAGGTGTGTGTTAGCAAAACACAGTCATCCAGAAACTGAAACATAACAATGAATAAATGATCTCATATTGCCAGCGACTGTGGAACCTCCTCAAGCTGTTTCAGCCTTTCTGTTCTCAACATTTGAGTCTGCAAAGACAACCTGATTGCTCTAATGTTCTCCCATTTAGATACAAAAAAAACACTGTTGCCATGGTAAACTGAAGCCGATGAAGCCTTACTTCAAGAAAATAAATTGGCTTTTCTTTCATTTGTTTACTTTTTTCGTTTGATGCGGACAATTTAAGAAGTCCATCAAAAATACAAGCAATTAAATATGCTTTGTTTGAAATACATTATGTTTTGAGGAGCAACTTCTCATTAAACAGGGAGGTCAAACTCATAGATGTGTGGGTATTATCTAAGAATAATTTGCATTTTCTTTTTATTTGTAGTTGAACGGTCAGGATGCACTGAAGTCCTGGAAGAAAAGGGTGGGTTTTGGTTCAATACATTTGTGGAGGGGGTAAAGCTTTAAAGTTGGCCCTGTTATGCTTTTTGGGGGTTTTCCCTTTCCTGTACTGTTATTTCGGTTTTTGTGCATAACAGGGATTTTCTCCCTTGCTAGCAAACATCTGTAATGTCGCCCAATCAAAAGCAATGTAAACACGAAGCCAATGCATAGCAGCTTTCAGACATTACAGTCATAGAGGTAAGATATGTCGACTGTATGATAAAACTCAAAACTCTAAATAATACCAGTGTTGGATATGACAATATCTTTTTAGATTTTTCTGTTTGTAGGTAATGCACCACCAGTGTGCTTATTCATCTAAATGCATCACAGTCATAGATTGTATCCAGAGTGGGTCACAGTGATATGGATGTGTATGTGGAAAGACCAATATGTTTTAAATTGGCAGCAGAAGTGGAGGTCTGTCAAAAAGATCTCACATTGAAACGTTATGCAACATTCCAATTATTTTATGTAACTGGTTGTTCAGGCTCCTCCTCTTCACTCAGATCCCCTGACTTTCTTACATGTGTTGATTCTGTGCATCGCCACTCAATACAGTAGCTTATGTCCACACACACTTACTGTATACACAAAGATTTGCAGCCCATAAGCATCTTCAGTGAGCGATCATGCGAGAGCTCAGGATAGTCAAACTCATTGACCGGTGACGAGGAGGAGCTTATCAGAGCTGATTCAACACTGATATGCATATGATCAGCTCTGTGTACAAACATTGGAGATATCTCTACTCCCTCTCTGTCTTGAAGTGTTCAGTAATAAACAAATAAGGAAAATAATTAAGGTAAATAGTCATTTTTTGTTGTGTAAAATATATAACTCATGTAAGCCAACCATCTGTGAGAATAATTGAAGAACTTCTTAAAATACAACTCAATCTTATGAAAGTTTAATTGGAATTGGGAGGGATGAAACCCTCTGTAATGGGCACACATGCGGAGCACACAGCACACACAGTGAAATGTGTTCTCTGCTTTTAACCCATCCTAGTACCAGGAGTCTAGTACTAGGAGCAGAGGTTAGCGTACAGCGCCCGGGGAGCAAAGGGAGTGGGGGGGGAAGGGGGTTATCCGGTGCCTTACTGAAGGGCACCACGGCAGGGCAGGAGGTGAACTGGGACCTATCCAAGCAGCAGTCCACACTCCATATTTAGGTCTGGTAGGGGACTTGAACCGGCGACCCTATATACGGCTCACAGTCCAAGCCCCTACTGACTGAGTCACTTTTTAGGGTGGGTTGTCACCGACCCTAAAAAACACCATCCCTATCATTTCTAGATATAATTTCAAGAGCCACTGAAACTACAGCTAGAAGTACCCAGCTTTGGTGCCATCTGCTGGCTTTTTTACTGAAAGTTTCAAAAATAACAAAACTAACAAAAAACTTTGGCACAAAATAAGATTGTAATCTAGATAGACAGAATAGAATTGGTAGGGATGAAACCCTCTGTAATGGTCACACATGCAGAGCACACAGTACACACAGTGAAATGTGTTCTCTGCTTTTAACCCATCCTAGTACCAGCAGTCTAGTACTAGGAGCAGTGGGCAGCTATTGTACAGCGCCCGGG